CCCCAAAACCCCAAAACCCCAAAACCCCAAAACCCCTTGAGTTTTGATAAGATTCAAACCTTACTTAATGGTATTAAGAAATTTAAATTAAATAGTTTTAAATGAAAATTCAAAGCAGTAACATGAAGAGATCTTAAAACTCTTCATCTACTCTATCTTTCAAACTTCGGTCTCCTTTAAATAAAGACCAATCAACAAAACTTAGTTTCTTACCTTGTTAAAAACGTAGATTATCTACGACTGCGATAGTATTCTTAGGTTTAGCGCTGATAGCCTCTCAAAATGGAATTAATGCCTAAGCTCCTTAGTAGAATCATACTATTGAGAAAAAATAATATGATGTCCCATACACTCAAGAAGATGTAATTGAAGAAGAGAATATATGGGATAACTTGGGCATAAAGCCTGATGCTGCTGGCAAGCTCGATGAAACAAAGAGAAATAATCTACTAGCCCAGCATGCTCACTCGCACTTCACTGTTGAGATTGACTCAATTGAACCTGAGGGCGGACCTACTACTGGTAACACAAGAGTTCTAGTAAGAGGTGGCCCCTTCCAAGATATGCAGTTGCTATTTCCTAAACCTAAGTGCAAATTTGGAAGATTTGATATGGTCGTTGACGCCACCTATGTTGCTTGCGTTACCAGTCCAACTCCAATGGAGAGTCGAGAAGCCAGACACAGAGACAAGGTAAATTTCAAATATCTATCTAATTTAAATTATTTATTAGAACGATACTTGCCTTTAATGCGATAATAGTCCAGAGTCAGGTGATGCAGAAATTGTTCCGTTTTCCGTTTCACTCATTGGTGATTTCTCAGATGCCCATAATAGCATGCCATTCAGATATTACAAGCCAGTATGATTAAAAAGCCCTCCTTAATTTTATTTTTCAGACTATAGTACATGCAATATATCCCAGATATGGTCCTAAGGACGGTCTTACCTTCGTTCAAGTTTGGGGAGAAAATTTTTTGAATTTTGATGAGAATACCAAATGTAACTTTGGTTCAAAATCAGTTGTCGCTCACTTCATTAGCAATACATATATGACTTGCATCTCACCATTCTCAGATGTCGTAGAAAAGCCAATTCCCTTCTCCGTTTCATTGAACAAGCAGCAAAACTCCAGAGATAAACTTGATTTTTGGTACTACAACTGGCCTGAGGTAGTTGAATTAGTTCCTAACTATGGTCCAGATTCAGGAGGAAACAGAGTACTTTTAAAAGGTAACAACTTTAACCCATTCGTAGCTGAGGACATCAACAATTTAAATGATACTTTCTGTGAATTCGAAGGTATAGGTAAAGTACCAGGACAAATTGTTAATTCTACAAAGATGTATTGTGTTGCACCACCAAATTACATTCTTGATATGACTTATGTTGAAGTAACTCTCAATAATTAACAATACACCGATGATAATAGACCTTATTACTATTATAGACCACCTCAAGTGTTTGATATTGATCCAAGAGAAGGTCCAACTAAAGGAGGAACTGAGGTCTTCGTTTATGGAAACAAATTCAAGGATTCCAAAAACATTACCTGTAAATTTGGGGAGAAGCTAACAAGAGGAACTTTCCTTGATCCAAACAGAATTCTTTGTGTTTCTCCTGCCGTAGAGAGACCAGGATACGTTCCTCTTACTGTTTCTTATGAAGGTGAGAGATATTCTTCAGAGACTGTGAAGTATCTTTACTATGAATCACCAGAAGTTTACAATATCACTCCTATCTGTGGTCCAGTAACTGGATATACTTAAATTACTGTCTTTGGAAAGAATTTCCTAGATATGGGATTCGGGAAAGTGAAATGTATTTTCAACAATACCTACGTAATGAATGCTACAATCCTAGAAGAAGATATCATCAAGTGTGATTCACCCCCACTTTCAAACTCAATGGGATACACAGATTCAACTGAAATTGGTGGCACCCCATGGTTCAATGTTTCAATTACCTTAAATGGAAAAGAGATGACTGATTCAAGGCAAAAGTTTACTTATTATGTTGATCCAACCATACGATCTATTCTACCTTTCCTTGGCCCACTTAGAGGAAATACAGTTTCAAAGTTAAGAGGAGAAGGTTTTGCTTAAGAGGGAACTTGCAATCTTACCGTGAGATATGGACAACAGCAATAAAAATTGCTTAATTACACTGATACTGAACTCGTGATTGTCTCCCCTCCAGCTGAAGTTCCTGATGCAGTGGTTGTTTCAGTTGCCCTTAATGGGCAATAATTCGTTTAAGATAAGACCCTTCACTTTAGAGATGAAGAAAATACATTCATCTATTATTAGGACTTATTTATCCAAGATTTCAGTCCAAAGATTGGACCAACTTCAGGCAAAACTAGAATTAGAGTACAAGGAATGGGATTCAAATAATTGAAGAATGATGATGGCACTTTCAGAAACCTCCCCCTCTATGCTAGATTTAGAGATTCAGTAACTAATGAGACTATTGGCGAAATTTCAGAGGCTTTTGATGTAGAGGATGAAGAATTCTCCTGGAAAACTCCTGCTGCAGATCTTGACACCAAAGCTATACTGGAAATTTCTTATAATTTAGAAGATTGGCAACAAGTTCTAGATGAGGGAAAGAACTATAGTTACCAGTACTATAATGCTCCTAAAATTCAATCTGTGACTCCTTCATACGGTCCAGTTAAGAGTCCTAATAATGAAACTGTAGATATCATTGGAAAGCATTTCAGTTGTCCTGAAGGAGATTGCAAGGACTTGTGGGTTAGATTCGGTGAAGAGCCAAATGCTATATTTGTGAAAGGAGAAAAAGTTGCAGACGATAGAATTAGAGCAAGAGTACCTAAGTACACTAAACCTGATGTATTACCAGTAGAAATAACCTTCAATGGATAAGATTATACTCATGACAACTAAACTTATGGTTTCTTTGATCCTTTCATTCTAGATATCAGACCAAGATTGATCAGTTAAAAAGGAACTACACGAATTAGACTCATTGGTTATGGTTTTGTTAATGCAGGCTAAGAATTAAGAACTAAAGTACACCATGTAAACAGAGGTGCTTTAAAGTGCTCAAATGGAAACTGCCTAGATCAAGCTGAATACATTGACAAGCAAACTATTGAATCAGGTACCTTCGCACAAAAAGATATAGCCATAGAGGATAATGGAGAAAATATTGGAAGAAATGGATTCGCTGTTGAAGCAAGCGTTGTTGGAAACGCCTTCACTGAAAACAATATCGAAGTTTGGTATTATGAGTAGCCTGAATATGGAAACCTCAATATCAATGGTACTCCAGCTAATCAGGAAAAACCAATCTTCATTAAAACTAACTTCAAATGGGATAAGAATGATCCAAAGAAATTTGGGGAATATGGCAATTTTAGTTGCAGATTCTAATCTTTTGACGGTAAAAGAGTAATTTACACAAAGGCAAGAATGGAAAACTATCCTCTTGGTAGTGCCTAAGAAGAAGGATCTCTACCAACTCATACTTTATGTACCACTCCAGAATGGAGCAGCCCAGAGCCAGTCAAGCTAGATATCTCTGTCAATGGCCAGGAGTATAGTGGTGATTTCATCTTTAACTTCTATGATAAGCTTGATCTTTACAGAATTGTGCCAATGGCTGGACCTAATGAAGGTAAAACTAAGGTTAAGCTATACGGTAGTGGATTCAATAGTGGAAAAGAAGATGTATTTGTCAGATGGGGAGTTCTCGAGACTGAAAGATAGATTAAAGAGCAAGTAATGGAGTACATCTGGAGTGAAAATGACTTCGTATATAACGCAATGCTTCCAGGCTCTGAAATTCTGCTTGCTTATAAGAAAGAAACCTACAACATTGAGAAGAAAGACTACGATTTGACTGAAGGTTAAAAGTTGAAGACTTATGTTGCTCATGCTCCTAAGCTTCCTAACTGGAATCATACTCATGGGGGCCCAATTTACTTGGCTGTTGGAGAGCACTTGCAATTTAATGTTACCAACTACACTTACTAAGAAAATGAAGATGGTTCTAAAACCCCAATAGAAGTAATTTAAAGCTAGACAATGTATCAATACTCTTATTCTTATGTTGAGTACTTCTATTATCAACAACCAGTTGTCAAGAAAGTCGAACCAAAGAGCGGACTTACTCGTGGAGGTACCAGAATTGAGATTTCTGGAGCATGGTTTGCTTACAGACCAGAATACGGAGTCGTCCCTCATTGTAAAATTGGTGATAAAGTAACTAGAGCTAAATTCTTCTCTACCGTGAGAATAGTGTGCGTATCTGCACCAAATGATGACATCTCACATCTTAACCCACTTCAGGTCTCTTTGAATGGAGTAGACTATGTTGATACTGGCTACACTTTCAGATACTACGAACAGCCAACTCTTTACAAGATGACTCCAATTTGTGGACCTGCTTCAGGAGGTACCCAAATCTTCATTACTGGTTCTAAGTTCTCAAATATTTCAGATCCATAAAACTTCAACTGCAGATTCACTTCCCAAGACAGAGACATCCCACCAAAGTACATTCCAGCTTTCTACTAAAATCAAACAACTATTATGTGCTCATCACCTGGTGGCTGGGGCAGAGGAGACTCTGTAAAGGTCCAAGTTACTTTCAACGGTGAGGACTACTCAGAGAACAATTTTACTTTCAACTACTATAACATCAACAGAGCTATCCCAAGAAGTGGTCCAGCAGACGGTAATGGAGGCCCAATCAGAATAGAGGGATCCGGATTCTAAAATGGCACTGAGATTTATTGCTCATTAGATAAGACTCTTTACGAACCTCTAGAAGTCTCAAATGATGTCATTAAGTGCCCTATGGTTGCTTCTAAGTAAGGTAGTGACTATTTTGGAGCTGTAGATTTTGCAATCATTATTGATGGAAATTGGCATAAATTCACTGGCGGATTCTAATACTATGAACAGATTGTAATTGAAGAGATGAGTCCTAAAGTTGGTCCTTCTGAAGGAAGAGGAGTAATTTAGTTCTTTGGTAGAAACTTTAGAGAGGACTTCCAACTAGCAGATATTGGGTGCAAGATTGGAGAGGCAATTGGAAAGGGTAAGGTTGTTGGACCAAACATTATTAATTGCACAGTAGAAGAGATGGCATTGGTTGATGAAGGGTTCTCTCTACCAGCAACTGTAGCACTTAATAGCTATTCATGGCCAGAGTCAAATCAAACATTTGTTCCTTACGGTATGACAGGCATATATCCTAATGCAGGCCCATACACTGGAAGCACAGACATCCTTATCACAGGTAAAGGTTTCACCGAAGACCTAGAGGAGAGAGCTAGATGCAGATTCGGAGTAGACTCAGACTATGCTATTGTTGAAGCTGAGATTTTAGCTTATGATAAAATGATTTGCAGATCTCCAGCTGAATTCAAACTTCCAGCTACTTCAGATCAAACTATCTCAGTTCCAATTGGTGTTGGCTTCAATGATGATGATTTCGAGCCATGGACTGAGAGTGTTCATAGATTTAGATTCTATTAGCAACCATTGATTGTTAGAGTCGATCCAGATGAAGTAGAAGTGGGTAAGATGGCAGAGGTCTATGTCTTTGCAGACGATAACTCAGAGTTTTGGGAGCCAATCCCTACTGGTAAAGGATCACTAGGACAGTATGGTATTGAATGTAAGTTCGGTAGATTCGGAGTAGGCATCGGTATGTACCTAAACAAGACAACAATCAAGTGTATCACACCATCAGTGTAAGATGACCCAGACTCCATTTGGAGAGAAGCAGTAAAGTTGACAGTCGCCTTAAATGGCTAAGATTTCGATGAAGAGAACAGTGACCTTGATTTCACATTTGTTGGTACTGGATCTACCTTAGTATTCTGGCCTTATGTCATTGGAACACTTTTGATTGGTCTTCTACTAATAGCCCTTGTAGTCTTCTGTTCCGCTTTGCTATAGAAATTCAGTCTAGATAGAGTCATTGCTATGAGAGGTAGTGCAAGACAGCAAAAGAGCAGGCCATACGTCATTAGAGACCCTTACGATCAATTCACTCCGAGAGCTTATAGTGCTGGTATGATTGGAATAGGACAAAGAGCAGATAATCAGCAGCAATGAGAAGTAGAACTTTCTCCAAACTGAAAGTGATAATAGATATATACAAATTTTTTCATGCTTCGATGCATTTAATTGCCTAATATTTGATTTAAACATTGACTAATGGGGTTTTGGGGTTTTGGGGTTTTGGGG